TTGTGCAGGGTAAGAGATAGGGTTCTAGTTTCATTCTTCTACAATATGGATGTCCAGTTTTCCCAGCACCAATCGTTGGAAAGGTTATCTTTTCTCCAACATGTTTTTTGATTCTTTCTCATTGCTGTGCCTGTGTGGGTTGTCTCTGTGCCTTCTGTTCCATTGGTCCCCACATTTGTTTTTGTGCCAGTACTATGCTCTTTTTGTTTCTGAAGCTCTATAGTATAATTTGAAATTGGGTATTTTTACCTCCAGCATGGCTCCTTTTGCTCAGAGTTGCTTTGATTTTCTGTGTTTTTAATTCTTCCATATGAATTTTAGGACTTTTTAGTAGCTCTATGAAGAGTATCATTGGTATTTTGATGGGGATTGCATGGAATCTGTAGGTCACTTTTGGTAATTTGGCCATTTTAGCAATATAAATCCTGCCTATCCAAGAACATGGAAAAGCTTCCCATCTTCTAGTGTCATCTTTAATTTCTTTCTTCAGAGTTCAATAATTTTTATTATAGAGGTCTTTCACCTCATTGGCTAGATTTATTCCTAGATATTTCATTTTTTGAAACTATTGGAATGGAAGTGTTTTCCTGGTTTCTTTTTCAGTGAATTCATTATTGGTTTAAATAAAAGCTATTGATTTTTGTGTGCTTGCTTTGTATCCTAATACTCTGCTGAATGTGTTTATCAGTTCTAGATGTCCTATGGTGGATTTTTTTTTTAAGGCAAGAGTAAATAGAGAAGGATTTATTTAAGTGAGAGGAGAAGAGAGAACTCTTACAATGCAGGAGTGGACCTGGCAGCAGGAAAAACCCCTCTGGTGGAGTTTTTTTTAATCTTCTCGATATAGAATAATAATCTGCAGTGATAGTTTGAATTCTTCCTTTCTTATTTGTATTCCTTTTATTTCTTCCAGTTGCCTAATTGCCCTGCCTAAAATTTCAAGTACTGTATTGAATAGGAGTGTTGAGAGTGGACATTCTTGTCTTGTTTCTGATTTTTGGAGAAAATGCTTTCAGTTTTTACTTATTCAATATGAGATCAGCTTTGGGTTTCTTGTATATAGTCTTCATGATGTTGAGGTAAGCTTCTTCTGTCCCTAGTTTCTTCAGTGTTCTTTTTTTTTTTTTTTTTTGGAATATTGCCAAAGGCTTTTCTGCACCTGTTGATATGATCATGGATATTTTGTTGTTAATTTTACTTATCTTGTGAGTTACATTTGTTCATTTGCACCTGTTGAGCCATCCTTGCATCCTTGGAATGAAACCAACTTGATCTTGATGTACAATCCTGTTAGTATGCTGTTGAATAGGATTTGCTGTTTTTTTCATTGGTTCTTTTTAATTATACATGTCAGTAGATTCCATTTTGATATAATTATACAAGCATGGGTGGATTTGCTAATAGTTTTATTAAGGAGCTTTACATCTGTTCATCTGGGATATTGGTCTGTAGTTTCCTTTTCTTGATATGGTCTTATCTGGTTTTGGTTTCGGGTGGTACTCGCTTTATAAAAGGAATTTAGAAGTGTCCCCTTTTTTTATTTTATGGAATGATTTGAGGAGCACTTGGCATTAGTTCTTCATTAAAGGTCTGGTGGGGTCCAGCTGCGAATCCATCTGGGTCTGGGCTTTTCTTTGTAGGGAGATTTTATTACTGCTTCAATGTTTTTCCTTGTTATTGGTCTGTTTAGGTTTTCTACATCCTCTTGGTTCAATTTTGATAGGTTGTATGTGTCTAGAAATTTGTTCCAATGTTTTGGAATATGGAATATGTTTTCAAAATAGACGCTACTGATCCTCTGGATTTCACTGATGACTGTGATATCTCCTCTTTCATTTTGAGTTTTATTAATTTGGGGTTTCTATTTCTTTTGATTGGCTAAGGGTTTAGCAGTCTTTATCTTTCCAAAAAAAACCCCCACCTCTTTGTTACATTTATCCTTTATATTTTTTATTCTCTATTTCATTTATTTCTGCTCTGATCTTAATTTTTTTCTTCCTTCTACTATTTTTTTTAGATTATAAAGACTTCTTCTTTAATCAAGGCTTTTAACATGGAATAGATTTCTCCAATAAAATGGAAAATTTCCAATACATTAAGACATGAATCCATAAGTCATAGTACATACAATACCCAGCAGGAAAAAACCAAAACAGCAAGTTCACACAATCCCTATAACAGCCGTGCTCTGATTCCCAGATGCTCCCTCCATCTGCCAAGTGTGTTCAGCTGGATATAGAGCACCCTGTGGCTCCTGGGGTCACACCCACCTAAGGCTCTGTGGGTCCACAGAGCACTCACTGGCAGGGCAACAGTGGCTCTGTTCCACAGGCAAAGCAGTTTACCAGCACATTCAAACAGGGTATTGAAATCCTTTAAATATCAAAGTGGAAAACAAGAAGGCAACATAATCATGTTACCAGAAAGATATCAGAAAGTAAGGACAGCTGTGTAAAGCTCGAGGCTGAAAAGCGGCTCGCCAGCTTCACTTCTTTGGCTTCCTGGGTAGTGGCCGCGGGAACAGCAAGATGTGAGGTTCTGGTTCGTGGATCATATAATGAACCATCCCTGACTGCTGAATGCCAAGATTTCTTCATTCATATTCAGACATCAGTGGGTCTTAGGGACCAGTTTGGCTATGTCCTTGGGCAACATGACATGCTTGTCCATGACTGGATAGGCCTGTGGATTTGTTGGTGTGTGCCTGTGGGCCTGACAGGAGCAAAAGGTTTCTACCACCAGGAGATGGTGGTTTGGAGCCCATTGTGGTGATTAGTGTCCATTTTTAAGGGACCCCTCAGTTCCCCTTCTCTGGGTTTTCCCCTCCCCCTGGGCAAAGCTGTTGTCTGGCCATTAGGTTTTGGTCCCTGTCCTTTTTGCCCTTCCTACTACTGGTTTTGGAAGTGTGTGTGTGTGTGTGTGTGTGTGTGTGTGTGTGTGTGTGTTTTTCCCTAGGACCTTGCAGTGTATTATTAGGTTATTTATTTGGGATCTCTGATTTTTATATGTAGGCACTCACAGCTATAAATGTTCTTCTTAGCACCATCTTTATAGTGTCAGAGATTCTGGATGTTATATCTCTAATCTTGTTTGAGTCTTAAGAATTTTAAAATTTCTCCCTTGCTTTCTTTTGTGGCCCATTCATTATTCAACAGTGCATTGTTAAGACTCTGTGTGTTTCTGTAGTTTTTTTTGTTGAAATATAATTTAATTCCATTATGATTTGGCAACAGTCAAGGAATTCATATATGTACATATATATGAATACAATTGTATATTTTTAATACAAATATAAACATGTATAATTAAAAATATTTTCCAAGACTTCATGTATTTGCTGATTTACTTCATGGTCTGTTTTGGAGAAAATTCCACAAGCAGCTGAGATGAAAGTGATTTTTTTAGTATGAAGTGTCTTTACTTGTTTTATGTCTGGATGACTTATCTATTAGTGAGAGAACTGTTAAAATCACCCAGTATTATTGTACTGGGGTCTGTCTGAGCCTTTATGTTGAGTAGTGTTTGCTTTATGTGGTTAGGTGCTCTGACATTTGGGGCATAGACGTTTACTATTGTTATATTTTCTTACTGAATTATTCTCTTTAGCAGTATAATGTGGCTTTCTTTATCTTTTTCCTTCTCCCATTGAGCCACCATGCTCCTTGCCTGCCACTTTGTATTTTTTTTATTAATTTTCTTCCTATTCTGGCATCCAATTTGATTTTTGCTTGGTTGCTAGCTCTCTGAGATGCCTACAGCTGTTTTTCTACAGCCTTCCTACCTCAATATGCTGCTGCAAACTGTTGTTTTAATTCAGTCTTGGAGATCTGCTATAATATTGTGGATTCCTCTAATTTGCCATTTCTTCCTCCAGATAAAGATTTATGCATCTAGTATAGGTGATAAGATGCCTGCATGTTTGAGAAGAAATCTCAATATTTCACATGGCATAATTAAAAAAAAAAACATACACTATAGTGGAAATTCAGAGCCAGTCCCAATGGCATTATCTACCTCTCTGTAAAGTATGTGTATTTCTTAATGGTCTCTCCAGGTTTCTTCTCTCAATAAATATTTAAAATGAATGAACACAAAAAACTAATTTCAGTTACAAATTATTCTTTGATGATGTACCTTGGAGTTTTGTTTTGTTTTCTTCCCTCTCTATAGGTGATAAAGCTGACTCTTAAGCTTCTTGTGTACCAATTTTGAAATTTCTATAATTGCAGTATTCATAAAGTAAATGAAATACTTTTCACATAATAATTCTTTGTTAACTATTGCTACGTAACAAAGCTTTTTAAAATTAATGGCTTAAATGGATAATGATTTTATATTTAATACAGTTTTGTGGATCAGGAATTTGAATAGGGCCCAGCTGGGTTGGTTTGTGTCTACACCAAATGATGTCTGCTGAAGGTAGAACATCCTCACATATCTATGCCCTTGACTAGAGGGGCTCTGATGACAGTGAGCAGGTTGTAATGACTTGACTGAGATCATATGTCTGGGGACTTGGTTTTCATTTCACTCAGGGTTCTTTGGTTCTTCCTTGGGCAGTATCAAGGCCTCTCATTTTCCATCTGACTTCTCCACATGATCAAGGTAACTCAGGATTCTCAATGGGCAAAAGCAGAAGCTGCCCAACTTTCTCAAGGCACAGTCCTGGAACCTCACTTCTGTGATCCCAGGACCATCCAAGATTCAGGGAGAATGGAAATGGAATCCACTTCTCAGTAGGCAGATGGTATGTTTGTATAGGGAAGGGAACAGAATTGAAAGCAGCCATTTTAGGGACTATCTATCCCAATAATAATGTATTTGTATGAACTTTTCGAAATTTCCATTCCTCCACATAAATTTTGGTTCGCATGTTATATTCTGGTTTTATAGCTTAATTATCCTGATTTTATATTCAAGATAAAACAAATTAAAAGGCAGTGTGGCAGAGTTATAAAATGTAACTTAAAAAACTATCTTCTATATCTATGTCATTTCAGGTGTGAAAATAGTCTCATAGAAGTTAAATGTTTGTCAAAGGTCACATGTATAAGTAATGGCAGAATAACTTATAAAACTGAAGAAGTAAGTCAATACAGTTTCACTTTTTAGACTTTAAAAATATTTTTCCAGGGGCTGGGGCTGGGGCTGGGGCTGTAGCTTAGTGGTAGAGTGCTTGCCTCACACATGTGAGGCACTAGGTTTAATCCTCAGCACCACATAAGAATAAAATTAAATAAACATAAAAAAATATTAAAAAGTTGAAAAAATATTTTTTTCCAATTCAAAAGCTTATCAAAATAATTTGTGGCTTAAAAATTAACTTTATTCATGTGTGGTTTCAAAAAATATGCATTTAAGAAAGTTCATGTGTAAAAGCAGGTAGACCCCAACTACCAGGTTGTAAATAAGCTAGCCCAACTTTTTCCATTTAAGCTATGAATTGATAACTTTGTTAGCGTCTTTAACCCCTTTGTAAATAATATTCATAATAGAATTATATCCTAAATGAATTTCTCGGTGGATATTTTGTGAACTTGTGGACTAAGGGATGTAAACTATAATAGCCATCTTTGCATTACTATAATTAAGTATCTGAAGCAGGATCAGTATAAAGGAGAGAGATTTGTTTAGCTCACAGTTTTAGAGGTTCAAGGGTATAGCACTGGCTTTGGCTGAGGACCTCATGCCAACATTGTTGAGAATGCATGTTGACAAAAGAAATCACATCTTGAAACAGGGAAGCCAGAGAGCTGCTAGGTGATTCCAAGCTTGTTCATTTTATAGCAGTCCTCTAGAGAGACTTTTCAGAACTAGTCCTGTCCCAGGGCAATGCCCTCAATGACCCAAGGACTTCCCACTAGACCCCACCTCTTAAAGGTTACATATCACTCCCACCACCATCATCCTCAGGACCAACCCTCCAACACATGGCCCCTGGGGAAAAACAACATCCAAACCATAGGGTGTACCTACAACAACTGTTTAAATCAGTGGCTCTTCTCTAGGCTGCTCATTAGAATCACTTCAGAGTGATGATTCCAATGCCTGGGCTCCATTCCAGACTCATTCAATAAGAATCTCTCAGGATGGGACTCGAGCATTCCCCCCCACTTTTTAAATTCCCCATATAGTTGCTATGTGTGGCAACTCACTGAGAATCACTGGTCTAATTAAAATTATTTCTATTTGCTAATAAAATAAAAAATTCTGTTTATTCCACACTAAGTGGCTATTTTCCATACCCAGCAATATTCTCTTTATATCTCTACTTGGAAAAACATAATTAAAATGTAAATTTAGCAAATGAAATTATATGTATTGAGAAGTGAAGAGCTGGAGAAACCTATTAAGATAGATATTTACATATGTACTATTAATGTTTATGATATATCAGTTGAAGAATTGTAAATTTCCCTTTTGAGCTAGTTAACCAAAAATCAATCATTGTTTGGCAGGAGTTATTCTGTCAATAATTTGAGTCTTGGCCATGACCTAGACAAAATGTTAAGAGATTCATACCAGAGTGTGTTCACTAGGACTATGCATTGCATCCTTTCACCCAAACCGTGTTTGTACCTTCATCAGAATAATGGATAGTAATGTGTGCAGTCCTGGTAACAAGATTAGGATTCTGGAGTGAGTTTCTAGTAGCTTTCAGAATTTCCTAGCTAACATAAGAAATGAACATGTTATTTTGAATATCAGTTGGGTAACCCAGCAGAAAAAATGAAAAAACCTCATCTTATCCTTTGTCTAGAGCATAGTCAGTTCTTGATCACACATTAGGGAGGGATTGGCAAAATGGCCTGTTGACCAAATCCAGGTCTTTTTTTTTTTTT